TTTTTTTTTTTTTTTTTTTTTTTTTTTTTCTTTTTTTTTTTTTTTTCTTTTTTATTAACTCTTTCTTTTTATTTCATTTTATTCTTTTTTTATTTCTTTCCTTTCTTATAAACCTTCCAACTAAAAGATTAGTAAAAATAAGTGTTGCGTTAACATTATCGAGCAAGAAAACTTACAATCTGCTCTTCCATTCTTTCTTTCCTTTCTTTTCTATTCAACCTAAATTTACAATCTCTCCATTACCCTAAGACCTCTTAGATGAATATCCCTTCCGTAATGTTGTAACCCGCACTTCCTTTTTTAATTTTTCATAATCCTTCAACCATTTATTATTTTGGTTCGCACATGTGGGCATTAAATAGATATTTACTTAATTTTATTTTCCTTCTTCTTAAATTCGCCAGTTGGCATAACGACGATACTTAGGCTCGAGATGTTTCTTCGTTTCCTCGAGTTCATTTATTTCATCGTTGTCTTCGTCGTCCTCGTAAATTGTTTCGTCGTCCTCGTAAATTGTTTCGTCGTCCTCGTCCTCTTCATCTTCGTCGTCCGTGAGGTCAGTATTACTTCGGGCTACGAATGATAATTAATTAATATTCATTTTACGAAATACCGTAAATCAATCATAAGATAATTTATACATAATACTACTCGCGGTTCTTTTTATTTTTATCTAATTAATTTGAATATTCTTTTCTAACAAGCCGAACTACCTATTTTTTTTTTTTTTTTTTTTAAATATCTGGTACAGTAAAGTAAACAATTATAATTAAGAATATTATTATATATATATAAATTCACTTGATTTTATTAAAACTAAATTTAGTTCTAATCGTCGGAAAAATACACAGATTTTAAAAATAAATTATAATATTAATTAATTAATTTTTAATTATTGAAAATAAAATTCATTCTAATGCAGTTTTAAGGAGTAAACAGACTCAATCGTTTTGTGACTATCATGTGAAGATACATAATAAAATTATATTTTTACTTTACTGTACCAGAGCAATATGATTGTTTTATTAGCTTAGTAAATGGAGTTGAGTTTAGCTTGATTTTCATTAATAAAGGATATGTCTAAAAATGATATGAATGATAAAAATGAGGGCCATATTACCCTTTGTGAATCAGAAGAAAAAAGAAAAAATAAGTAATATATATGCGGTCTCGATTAGTCAGGCAAAGACATTACTGTACGGTAAAAGCGTGACATAGAATAAAGGATTAATTAGAAATAAGAAATTAAGAAGCGAGAGTATATAGTAGTCTTTTAAAACGAACGTAGAAAATGATGGAACGCCAGCCAATCCAATTTTCTTCTGGCACAGTATGTATATATTTATTGAGGCACTATTTTAAAAGAACTATTGATATTCCACAATACGTTCCATCAAAATATATTTAGAATATGCAGCAATTAATTGGTCCCATCGACGACACACATTTTGCAGAAATTAAAATATGACACTTGTGTATAATATGATGAATTGCGGGCCTAATCAATCGTTGAGTTTGTAAATAAAATAGATATGATGAAGGCATGTTATGCACCGAATAGTTAAATAATTCGTATACATTGCAGAGCGTTCTACATACAGTATGCATTAGATGTATCAAATCTTTTTGTTTTATTTTATTTTTATTTTTTTCAGCCTTCATGAATGCAAACAATAACATTGCCGTGTATGGTTTATGCATACTTAAAGATTTATGAAAAATCATTAAACTATAATGTCAATAATGTCAAAAGCTGCAGACAATAAAATTTGTTATCAATGAAATCAAAACTTGCAGAATTGGCATTTTTTTTTTCTTTTTCTTTTTTAAATTTCATTCTGGCAATGCATTAACGTTAGTATCCACAAGTTAAACAATAATTCATACAAACAATGAGAATGCATTGAAAAGTGATTTTACCCCTTAAAACTGTGACCTGATTATAGAATTATTTCAAATTAAGAAATGCGCTTAGACAAATATCATTCGAACAACTCGTATCTTATTTAATCTTGAATTTGTAAGAAAAATATTTGAATAGATTGAATTTGAAAATATGATTATTCCGCCATATATATGTATAACTTACCTTGTAACATGAAAAACTACAGGCGGTTCAGCAACTATCCTATCATCTTCTTCAGAATTAGTTCCAACCGCCGTGTTATTCGTGATTTCTATTCCACCTATCGAGCACGTAGACGTGACCACTGCGCATTTAACCATATCAAGATACGAATAATCTACTTCACTTACAGTGTCATTCTTTCTCGGTTGTATTTGTTCAATAATATCAGATTGAAAATCTGTGAGATCATTAATGCGCTTACAAGGGGGGCATTCAGCGTTGTCATCGACATTGTTGGATGATTTGTTCTTTGTGATTTCAGTTTTAGTAGTATCATCTGTGCTAGGATTAACTTTAACGCATACTAATGAACATTCAGTTTCTATTCCGGAATCAACGCTTTCCTGGAAACTTTCTTTGTGTTGCGGCTGAATGACCTCTGGAATGTTATCTTCTGAAGTTGACAACAAATTGGATTCCTCGATTCCTGAATCTTGGCTATTCCTATGAATATTTTCGGGTTTTTCAATAATTAAAGTTGTTGACGAATGAGATGTCTGAGGTAGATCGAAAAATGAAGTTTCTATTTCTGGCGCGTTATCATTCTGTTGCCATGCATCAGAAACTATACTAGGTGAAAGTGTTCCTTCGTCTTTAATAGAGTTTCCATAGTTAGATATATCGGTAATACAAAATATAAGATCTTCAGAGTCTGATTTTTCAAAATCTTGAAGAGTTTTTTTAACAGAGGCAGAAACATTATCTTTAGTCTGTGACAATATTACAGTTGGAAGTATAGTAAAGTCTGATTCCTTACCAGAAGGCTTATTTATATTATTTTCTATATAATTGTTAACTTTAACATCTTTAGATACGATCGGACATGCATCAACATTATTTGGCTTGGATAACAATGTCTCCTCTGTAATAAGATCATTCAACTTATCCTCTTCCCATAAATCAACTACAGCATCCTCCTCCTCCTCCGTGCAGATACTAGCAGTTGGATGTATTTGTGCATTAACATTATTAAAATCCTCAACATTATCTTTAGAAGTAAGACTTAATTCAGATATACATGATTTTATTTTACTATTTACAGTTGTACTCTTTGAATGTGGATCTATATCCACATGGCAAGTATTTGCTCCTATATCCTGACTCAATGAATCGTTCAAATCGATCCATTTTTCATTTTCTTCATTAACATTAACACTACATGTTTTGGTAACTTCGTTAGTAAAATTTTTCTTTTTTTCTACATTAATTTCTAATAGATTATGATTTATCATGGAAATATCATTTACACCATGGTTATTATAATCATCCACATGCACATTTGATGCTACTTTGTCATTCTTACAACAAGTATTAAGAAGCAAAGACTCTGCAACATCTTTTTCATAAGTAGTCTGCAAATTTACTGATTCATCGAGCATACTTACAATATTTACATTATCTATGACTTTTATATCACATGTCACGTTACAAGATGAAGAGATTTCATCACTAGTCAAATTAATACTGTCAGTCAAACTTCTATCACATACTTTTTCTATCTTTACAGAATCTATGTTCCTCACCGATTCATATTCTATGGTTTCTTTCTCAAGAACATTTTCACTTACTTCTAAAACAGAGTATTCAGGTATATCCTTTAACTTAGGTATACATACAGTCATCTTGCTCTCTGGAACATTTATCGATGAAGCATTATGTACAGTTTTAGAGCAAGCTTTTACTACCACATTTAAGGTAACACTATTATTTTCTTCTGCTATTAAATCTCTGCTAGCATGCCCTTCATCTTTTAATTGGACATTATCAGGTAACGTTTGAATATTTAAACTAGATATACTAGCTTCATCTTCTTTATCGCTACTTAAGAAGTTTTTACTATCGTAACTGGATGATTCTACACTAGTATTATGTAATGGTTTTTCTTTTAAATTTTTCTCTTTTACTTTTTCTTCATTATATCCCTGATCCGGGTGCTTCGTTATTTGATTTGAGCACTTTTTCGATGACTGTTGTTCTGAGGCATTCGTATTAGTAGTCTCAGTTTTAAATGAAGCAAACATATTTGTTAAAGTTTGTATACTTGGTAATTGTGTTACATTTAATGACTTTAACGGTTTACTTTTAGTCGGTAAAGATATAATGTCTGCAAATGTTCCAGAAGCATTACTTTTACAAATAGCTTTACCATCTTTAAAATACTGATGAAATTTATCGCCAAATGATAATACGCTATTTACACTACCTTGCAATAAATTTCGAAAATCTGTTTGACTGATATTCGAGGATTCTGAAAAAAAATTACCTTTACTTTGAAACAAACTAGGAAGCTTTTCCAAACCAGAAGTGTGCTTCTGAATCGGAGGAGCAGTTTTATTTTCTAATAATGGAACTTGTGATTTTGCAGATAAAATATCTTCTACCGATTGCTGCATATTTGGCTCTTCATTACTTAAATCGATAAGATCAACTTTTTCGTTATTAACGCTTGTTTTGTCAATATTATCTTTCAAATCGATCTGTGCATCTTGTACAATTTCACTTTTATAATAATCAGTTTTCTTAAATATTAATTCCGAAGTATCTATTATCGTTTCTTCTTTTAGAGAATCACTTTGATTGTCTTTAGAATCTTCCTTATGTTCAACAGTATAAAGATTTAAGTTATCTTGAGTATTAACTTCGCTAGAATTGTTACTAGCAGTGAAACATTCATTTGTACTCTGTTCATTTATATTATCAGATATATTCAATGGTTGTATACTATCATGTTTATTATTATTATTAATTGAAATCGTGCTAATTTCACTATTTATTGCAATTTCTTGTGCATCATGTTTATTAATGGTCTCTTTATTTGTTTCTGTCTCTGATTTAAATATATTGTCTGAATCGTCCGAATCCGCAGACTCTACTGAATCGATTTTAAAGTTGAACCCAATGGTAACATTCGATTTAGATGATGCGAAAACAGACTTAGGTGTAGATGTACAACTTGATGATGATGATGATGATGATTCAACGAGTGACACACGAAACCTAGATGTTCCACTTGTGGAAGGAAAGAAACACGTGGACATTGGTCCTAGCGATGTTGGAGTTACAGGAGATGATGATGTTGAGGAATCTGTGGAACGTAACGATGCTTCTGAAACTCGAGACACCACAAATCGACTTCTAGAAGGACTTGGTATCGGGCTTGCGACAGGTGAGGGGATAGGACTAGGAGCCGGGGAACGGAGGCGACCCCCACTAGTACGTTTTGGTTCAAGCGTCGATCGCCCTGTGTCCTCGGTGGTTACTGAAGTCATGGGTGATGGAGAACATGGCAGTGTCTGACAAGTAAGCGAGATCTTACGGGAACTCGCGCTAAAGAATCTGCTATGATGTCTCGGACTTTCTGAATCCCCAGTATTCTCATTCAGCTGTTGATTTTCTTTATTTCGTGCACAATAACTTCTAACTTCCTCCAAAACATCCATATACTGATGTAATGTTCCGTCCTACAAATTATTTGGAAAAACCAAACGAATATTTACGTCCCAAAATAGTATGTAATTTAAATTTATTTAAACTACATACAATTTTTATTCGAGGCTTGTCATCTAAATCCAATTGTACGACACTCTTGTTTTTCTGCATTGCTGTGCTAAGAGCTTTCATTCCTGTCATCTGTATACTATTATCACGCAAATCTATCCTCTGTGAAAGCATATAAACATTAAAACATATTATCAAAGAAATTATCAAATATTATTTTAAATTAATTAGATATCACATACTTGTAAAACTTTATTATTTTCAATGACATCAGATAAAGCGATTATTCCATTACATGTCAGATCAGTGGATTGCATTCCCAATTGTAAAAGAATACGATTTTGTTTAAGCGAATCCTTTACAGTGATTAACATTTCACTGGTTAACATGTTCTGTCCAATGTTTAAAGTTTCCAATGTCCTTGACAATGACTGTGTAAAAAAGAAAAATATATTTCTTTTCACAAACCCCTCCATGTAAAAAATAATTAAATAAATTCAATAACTTACAATAATACGAGAGAAATACGGAGATGATTTTTTTGTAAGGCGATTATTCCATAATATGAGTATACTCAATCCTTTGCCCTCTTTATCTTCTTGAACTTGATTAATAAGTCCTTCTAATAGATCATGTACACCATCATCTTGAATATTATTATTACTAAAAAAAAAAAAAGAAAGCAGACGTTGTATATATATATATAAGAATACTTTATTTTATAATATTGTAATTAATTTTTTAATTTTATCTACCTAATATCAAGTAATTGTAAGTGATTATTGAGCCTCAATAAAGATCCAAGCTGTATAGCATCGTAAAAATCAAGTCCATTGTCAGCTAAGTAAAGTTCTCTTATCCCTGTATTCATTTTCAGAGCTGTAACTGTTACGACAACAAATATTATAATCTCAATTAATATTAAATTGTATTAATATTATTAATTATAAAAACTTAATCTTTATTATCGTTTTCTATTACATATAAATGATCAAATGTTCACTATGAAAGAAAAGACTTTTTAAGCACGAGAAAAAGCAATAGTATCGAACAATGTTAGAACAAAAGATATAATTAATTAGCAATTACATTAATACACAAATATTAAAAACAGATTAATTTTCTATACAGTTGCACTTAGAAAAATAAAAGTGCATTCAACATCGATACACCAAGAGCCACATTGCAAAAAGAAGTTTTTACAAGCAAACATTGTTTGTTTTTATTATTGAATTAATAGAAAATAATATTAAATAAAAAATTAACCATATGCAATATGTCTTTCGCTGCAATACATAATTTCTTTCAACTATTTAATTAATATTAAAATAAATATAATATAGAGAGGATTATTATAAATTTGTTGTACAATGCATTGGAGTAATATGTGGACCATACAGAAACACAAAAATAATATATCTTGTGTAGTAATTAATAAGGTATAGTAATAATATATAATAGTGTTATAATTTTGTTAGGATTAAAACCAAATTACCTTTTAATAGTTATTGTTTGTAAAATGACGAAAAATAATAAACTGCAATGTAATAAATACCTAATGTGGCGATAGGTCTTCCTGAAAGTCCGCAATTTTCTAATTTAAGGACGTGTAGATGGTAGACTAATCGTAATGCGCGGCTCAAAATAGTCATGTACTGTTCATTAAGCGTTACATCCTTAGCTTCAAGCTGTTCTAAACATTGGGTCTAGACACACAAATAATGATTTTATTAATTATACACGGAATAATAATAATATATGAACAAACAAAGAAAAAAAATTCATCTCATACAACTTTTGCCATAATATATTGGAAATATTTATTTACTAGTTATCTATTACTAAATTTATAATAACAAAACTATTTATAGTATATACAATTAAGAAACTACAAAAATAAAGTGTTGAGATATCTCCATTTTGCAATAACCGATATACATAATCGTATCTACCTTTTTAATCATGTGTGAACATGCTTGCCAACCACGAGCTCCGATATCTGAATTAGATGAAATGTTCAAGTGCTTTGCAGATTCATAATATTCTAGCATATCAAATAATATTACAGAAGTCTGTAACGAAAATTTTTAATTAATAATATGGAATAGGTGTCTGGACGATATAGGGTAAAAAGAGAAAGAAAAATAGAAAGTTCAAATTTGTTAATACCTCATCGTTTAAAGATGTAGCTTCCAAGTCAATTTTTTTAAATTGAATTCTTTTAAGAATTTCTTCTAATGTTTCTGAATTATTTAGATCCAAATTAATTCCATTTAATTTAAATTCATTATTACGTTCTTCTGACAAATCCCAACTCTAATTTAAAAAATTTTGTTCATTAGTTTTAATTATAAACAAAGGCTACTTAAAGGACATAAATATATGATCATTGAGTGTCTTTTTATTTTTATTTTATTTTATTTTTTTTTTCTTAAAAATACGATAAAGAAATAATAATTAATAATTATTAACATAAATATAGTCGCACATCTCTAACGTATATCAAATAATTACATTGCGTGATAAAATATTTTGTTGTATATAATGATATATTTGTAATTAATTATAATTCGATATTATGTTTCTTCATTGTTGATAATGTAACAGATTATCAATGGTTGACACTACAAACTAGCTATACCTCTAATTGAGCTAAAACTTTTTCCAATGGCTCAGTGTTGTGCCGTTGGCAGGATTCCTTATATGCTTTGATCAAGTCCTCACGATTCACATTTTCAGCTGTGAACAAGTATTGATATTATATTGAAACTAAAAAAAAGGATTAAATATAAGAACATAAGTATTTCACTTGAAAAAACAAAAACAATTTTTTATCGTTAGACACATTAAAAGGAACACATGTAAAAAAATAGAATATGTAATTGTATGTATAAATATAAAACTTATCGCATTTCCAATTCAATTATACAAACTCTATCATATAATAAACTTACCATTTTTAACGATAATACTTTACGTATCCAAAATGTATAATTAAATATATAAACTTATATATTGATATATTTAAGAACAATTTGTTATTCTTGTACCAATGTTATGTCATTGAAATTAAATATGTCAATAATAAATATGATCTTAAATATTAAAATAAATCTAAAATATACATTGCATATATGATGCTGCAAATATATGACAAATTTATATTACTTCAACTCATTTTAGATCAAAATTGAAATGTACCTTAGATAAGTATAATAGACATACTTTAACTCTGCATCAAACTTATAATTAGTACATGGTTCTGATTGTGAAATCCTAAACATCCTTCTATTGGCACAGTCTATAAAAAAGTCTGATAGCTTAGTGACAAAGAATAAAGTTTAGAGGTAATTAAAAATACTATATATATATATATATATATA